TTGTTTTGTTTTTGTTTTGTTTCCCGACATGTCGTTGCAGTAATTTAAAGGGTGTTTCATGTTGTCGTTGCTGTGGACCATCTTAAACTACCTTCTTTGTGGGCCCCCTTCTGGTCCGCCTGCCTTGCCTGTCGAAAAAAACGGCGCCCCTGTATACACACACACATTCAATACATACATACAGTATGATGGCTTGAACTAGTGGGAGAAATGGCACTGTTTGTCTGTAGTCAATGCCTTGAACCTCGGCAAAAAAGGTATTAGAAGCATTAGAAGGTAAGGTACCGCAAGGTAAACTTGCGGTTAACTTGCGGTCTGCAATACGTGTCACGCTCGCGCACACATAAATATATTTACACGTTCATTCTAACAACGCGTCAGACACAAGAAAATATACATTAATTTACGTCAGAATCAGAACGTTTTTATTTTTTTATTTTGTATATATATATTTTTTATAATGGGACACAGGGTTCGGTCCGGATTGATTTGCAGTTCGGTCCGGATTCGGACCTTGGTCCGGAGTTTGAGAAGCCCTGTTCTACAGTATTATCCCGCTTAACACTTCTCTATTTCGTTTTAACTTGGAGGCTACGATTAGCATCGTTAGCACAGATGTAGCTAAATACCATTCGCTTACACGCTAACCCAAGCCTTAACATTCATTACGTATTCATTAAAGTACTCAAATTTCGCTTACCGCAAAACCGCATTCATGCACCATCTGTTTTAACCGCAGAGCGAGTCACAATAGTCCGATATAAGCATGAAGAACAAACAAACACGGCAGAGTTCAAGTTATGTTCCCCAGATGAGCTGAGCAGGCAGAGTCCCTGTAGCATCACGGAGCTGCTAGCAGAAAGACAAGAAGCTTACAGCAGCAGTCACTGGACAGAGCTGTCACTCAATGTGACCACGCCCTAATTTATGCATAACTTTAAGACTGAATATTAATTAAACAGATGAGTTGAGAAAAAATGCACCCCCCAATCCATAGTCATGAAGGGGGAATCTAACTATACAGAGAATATGGTTTTTTGAACCACGATGTAAACATGTTTATTTCTGCATTAAAGTTGGGCATCTTAACATGGGGGTCTATGGAAATTGCTCCCTTCTGCAGACCTACTGGCCACTAGATGAACTGCAGTTTGAGGCACTTCCTTATTGGCCTCCTGGCTCTGCCCCAGAGTTTGCCGCTTGGTATCAATATATATCAATAATTTATTTACAAAAGCACAAATAAGTAAAGACACCCGCGCAGCGGAGTGAGAGAGCCAGAAGAATCTCATAGGCCGTCTTTCAGCAGGCTGCACCGGGCCCACCCCACTGGAACCTGCAACAGGAAGCACAGAGCCAGGACAGAACCCCTAGTGGTGTGGAGGGGTCGTCACACTTTGAAAAGATGTTGCTTCACTCAAGCTTTATGTGTGATCCAAAGTGTTTTACACTTCTGCATATTTCTCTTCTGACTTATTATGCCTGCTCCACTGAATAGCATTGGGCTGGCCAGCAGACGCCTCTGATGGGATGCATTCTTCAGCAGGTGTGTACAGGCATCCAAATGTCCAACGTGGAGATGTGTTGAATATCAAATGTCAGGAAACGTATACAAAAAGAAAAGATGCAAAAGGCAGCATTAAAATCAAAAGGAGTCAAACGTATAGAAGTTGTGGAAGAAAGAGAAATTGTTGGGTGACTTTGCCCTGCAGGTGTGACAGGGGAAGTTCAGCTTATCAGCTTGATGGAGACTGTCTCGCTGTGGGGCGAGGGTGGGGGAGACGGAGAGAGAGGGAGAGGGGGTTTGGCAGAAAAGTGTCTGTCGACTCCTCCTGATACCTGCCTCCATGTCTGAGATGATATGGAAGATAATATTGATAATATTAAACGCAATAACTGTGTCTCCAGCTCCCCTCCCTCGCCTCAGCCCCTGTAGGATAAAATCAATGTGCCATTCAATGTGATTTATAGCTGAAAATAATGGCACTGTTTAGGCAGGGTGTGTGTGTGTGTGTGTGTGTGTGTGTGTGTGTGTGTGTGTGTGTGTGTGTGTGTGTGTGTGGTGTGGTGTGTGTGTGTGTGTGTGTGTGTGTGTGTGTGTGTGTGTGTGTGTGTGTGTGTGTGTGTGTGTGTGTGTGTGTGTGTGTGTGTGTGTGTGTGTGTGTGTGTGTGTGTGTGTGTGTGTGTGTGTGTGTGTGTGTGTGTGTGTGTGTGTGTGTGTGTGTGTGTGTGTGTGTGTGTGTGTGTGTGTGTGTGTGTGTGTGTGTGTGTGTGTGTGTGTGTGTGTGTGTGTGTGTGTGTGTGTGTGTGTGTTGCAGTGTACAGTATGAGCGTTTGCATGTAGACGAGGTTGAAAGGTGGACGTGACGTGAAGATGGATTGTGTGTGCTTGTGTCTACTTGTGTGTGTGTGTGTTGATTTATTTGACGATGCAGATCTAATCTCTAACTGTTACATTAATAACGGCAGAGTGAGGCCGTCACATGGTCTGGCCGTTTATGGCTGGTATCGATCGGCTGCTATCACTGTTTATCGCAGCGGGAATGCAAGGGTAAACACGGCCTTTGTGCAGATGGCTGAGGTGTTGTCGGAGGGGGGGGGCTGAGGACAAGAGGGGGTTTGGGAAGGGGACAGGAGGAAAAGAGCTGGGAAGAGTAGAGAAGAAGTTAGGACTGCTTTTTAAATATACAGTCTGATGGGGGTAAGGATGGGTATCAAGAACCGGTACTAAGTCAGTACCGGTACCTGATTGGACGGTATCGGTATACCGTTAAGCCGCTGGACAAACGGTGCTGCTATCGGTATATGAATTACGCTACTTCCTTAGTTTAAACAATTCTTGTTGGTTGGGAACCCTCATCCCGTGTGACGTATCCGGTTTGAGTACCACTCTGATTGGCCACTGTGAATGCCACTCGTCATCTCTCCTAACAGCGCTCTTATTATTGTGAGACCCCCGGGGGCAGACCATAGGGGCAGACGCAACATCTTGCTAGAAACAGCGTCTCAAGGCTTCTTAACATTTAACAACCTATTAATGATGCATACCCACTTAACTGGAAGACACTCAGCTAACAGACGGGGTGCCTCATCTTGAGGAGGGAGCCTCAACTGAGCCGCAAATGCGGTGCACCTATGCGCTTATGCGACGCAATTAGTGTGGCGCGGCACGGTTTCCACTAGCACCCCCCCCGTCGACGACGACGCTCGCAAAACAGAGGGCCTCATCATATAACTTTGCGTGGGGCCTCAAGTTGGCCAGGGACGGCCCTGATAAACGCAATAAACGGATTATAATGGTTAGCCGACCGGAGCTTCCGGTTTAGGAGGTGCGCACGCAGCGTCTCGTTTTAACTGAATAATGGTCTGACCCTAATTACCGCCCCCCCTTCCAGAGACACACTGTCAAACACATTCATACCTGCTTGGTATGACATTGAAAAAGTTACATTAAATAATAAATACAAATAAATTACAATAAAATGACTGTTTAATCTTCACATCTTGTAATCATGTCTATCATTTTGAGCACCAAATTATTGAAAAGTATCGGAAAATACTGGTATTGATAAGCAGTATCGGTATCGATAAAATCCTAACGATATCCATCCCTAGCTGGGGGTGTAAATGATAAAACCAACACACATAGCGTCACATGTTTTATATTATGCTATAAGAGTTTGTAACATGACTACTGTCTACGTGCCTAGAACATTTTATTTTTTTAGAACTTTCAAAAGCTGCTTTATTCCTAAAATAATTAGTGAGTCTTTTCTCTCGTCTTGGAAATGATGAGGTCATCTACATTTTTTTTTTAAAAGTTAAAGAAATTAACTTCAGAACTTCTGGTGAACAACGTCCTGTTGTTCCCATACAGACTTTGTTCACCTTCCTCCAAGATATCTTTTGTGTTCTGAGCTTGTGAGTCATAGAACACCCATGCTGATGTTTTTGTGATGAGCTAATATCTGTTCGCGACCTAATCGAATTCATTGATTTAAACTGCAGTTAAATCAAACTTCTAGTTTATTTAATAGTTCCCTCGTACTTTTTTTTGGGATATTCATAGTGAAATGTGTGTATGATGATGATGATGATGATGATGATGATGCAAGAGCAGCAAGGAGAGAGATGTTCTCAGATAGTCTGTGATGTAACTATTCATCTCATCTGAATAATCATGAGTCCTGCTAATAATAGGGAGGGACCCGCAGTGTGATGGAGCGGCTGATAACAGCTGCACAGGCAAAGTTCAGGGTTCACACACACACACACACACACACACACACACACACACACACACACACACACACACACACACACACACACACACACACACACACACACACACACACACACACACACACACACACACACGTCAAGCCACGTGCAGAAGCACACTTGGATCTCTTTGATCAGCAGGCAGGAGGCTCTGTAATCAGCTGGATCAATGGCAGGGATATCAATGGTGATTAGAGGAACACAGGCAGCCTCTGTCTCTGCTGAAGGTGACAGGCCGGGGGGGGCACAGGGAGGAGATGGAACGATAGAGGAGAAGAGGAAGATGAAGGAAAGAAAAATGCCAACCTACAGTGTAAAGAAAGAGAGGGACAGATGGTGGGCATTGATGAAGTGTGAATGGAAGATAGAAAGAGACACAAGGCAAATTAAAGAGTGTGAGAATACTCCGAATTACCTGAGAAGCTAAGCATCATTCTGGGTGGGGAGGTGTCGTGTTACAAAGCCCTAGAAGTCATTTTACCGTTTGATCAACATACAGGAAGCCCAGCACCCACCCACACAAACACGCATCCACGCCACACACACACACACACACACACACACGCATCCACGCCACACACACACACACACACACACACACACACACACACACACACACACACACACACACACACACACACACACACACACACACACACAAAGCTGCCTTGGGGCGATTATATGTTTCTGTCTGTTAATATGACTGTTTGTGTATCTAGAAAGCAGGACGCAGGACTCTGGACGAGGCCCCGGTGATGAAGACAAGGGCGGAGAGGAGCCGGGTCCAACACACAGCGGCGGGGAGGATGAGGAGGAAGGAGAGGAAGAAGAGGAGGTGTTGCAGTGGAGGGGGCCAGGTCAGTCATTCCGTGTTTAGATCTAACCAAAACAGATGTTCTGACGCAAAAAGAAGTGAACCATAATGTTGGGTGTGAAGCCATTCCTTGATCTGCTTCACTAAAGGATTAAGATTCCTTTTAGTGTAGAAGCATCAGCTGTTCACATTCCATATTGACCAAACAGAAGCATTCCTTTTTACAATACTTAATGGTGTGGTGATCATTCATACTGAAATTGCTATTATTTACAACAGTTGTTTTGAAAAGTAATTAAAAGTATTTTAGCTTAGCTTTTAGTTAAAGGTGGGGTAGGTAAGAATGGAGAAACCAGCTCGAGTGCGCTAGAATCTGAAAGTACGCAGCCGAAAAAAATCTGCCCCTTCCTTCAGACTTCCTTACAGAGCCCCTCCTCCAACACACACGAACGCGCACATGACCAATGAGGGCACGAGATAAGTTTGTGCACAGATGGAAGGCTGACAGGCAGGTAGGCCATCCAGTTATTTTAGCCGGGCCGGCTAAAATGATTGGTCGTACTTTTTACAGAACTACGGCTTCCACAGATGACATTATTTTATGTATTTATTGTCAAAGCATTTAATATATTCATTGCGATCGGGATGTTAAGAGCATTCCATGGAATATAACAAGTGTTTCTGAAGTGAATTACATACCCTACCTTTAACTTAAAACATCAATCAGTCGAGCAGGTGTAGTGTGTATCCAGCAGCAGCCTGTCACCTGAGCTTTTCACCATGTTCCGGCTCCCTTCATGCTGTGTGTGTGTGTGTGTGTGTGTGTGTGTGTGTGTGTGTGTGTGTGTGTGTGTGTGTGTGTGTGTGTGTGTGTGTGTGTGTGTTGTGTGTGTGTGTGTGTGTGTGTGTGTGTGTGTGTGTGTGTGTGTGTGTGTGTGTGTGTGTGTGTGTGTGTGTGTGTGTGTGTGTGTGTGTGTGTGTGTGTGTGTGGTGGGTGTGTGTGTGTGTGTGTTGTGTGTGTGTGTGTGTGTGTGTGTGTGTGTTGTGTGTGTGTGTGGTGTGTGTGTGTGTGTGTGTGTGTGGTGTGGTGTGTGTGTGTGTGTGTGTGTGTGTGTGTGTGATGTGATGTGTGTGTGTGTGTGTGTGTGTTGCCGTGGCCAAGCGCGCCATTAGACACACCAGCTGCTGTTCAGCTTCCTTGTTAATTATTACCAGTTGGATTAGTCGTAATTATTGCAAGACATTGATATCCTGCAAAACCCCACGCTATGTGTTAGCCATTTAATAAGACATTTTAATTTAGTATTGTTTTTAAGCAAATGGACATAGAGCATCTAAAAATATTTAATCAGAAAAATAAATACATTCTTAACAACGTAACAGGCTGGCAAACTTGAGTCCCTGGCATGAAGTTGGACATGCTACACCCCACCATCCCCCCTTACTCTCCATGTCGTTGGGAAGGGAGCCTCTGAATGTTTGCATTGCATTCAGAATAGTTGTATTCCTAGAGATACAGGGATACTCCAGTCAGCGTACTTTCATTATAAGTGCTGACATGCTGTCAGTCTGTGTGTCTGTGCTCGTTTCGGGGGGCTCCTCTGCTGCTTCTTCAGGGGTCCGCCGTCTGTCCTACTGTCCCCCTGTAGGGGATGTGGATGTGACAGGTTGGGGGGAAATATATTCAAGTCGTAAGAAAAACGAGGAGATAACAAGTAAATTGCCATAATTTTATTATTTATTTCTTCTCTTATCGATGTTTGTTTGGTTATTTATTTCTCTCTGTCTGTTGACTTCAATGAGTTAAACAATGCAGGAAGATTACCGCACTATCTTGCATTATTTCCTTTTCAAGCTGTGCACGTTGTATGCATGTCTGTGCTGTGTGTGAGCAGTGCTGAGTGTGTGTGTGTTTTAATTCCTGTGGTGGGGAGAGAGGATGTGTTCATTATCGTGCTGTCCCAGCCTTGTCCCTTTAACAGTAATTGGAGCGATATTAATTGCTGCGCAGTGGCTGGTTGATGGTAGCACCATCATGCCGCACTGATAGGGCCCTCTGCTCTTGTTTTTTCTTCTCCTTTCTCTCCTCCTCACAAACTAACTGCTGGGTGAGTGGGGAAGGGGGAGGGAGGAGGGGGAGAGAGAGTAAGGGAGGGAGATAGCCCCTCTATCAGCTCCGGAGCAGGCGCTGTCTTTATCAGGAGCACGATTGGCAAAAAGGAAACTTTGACCGGTCTGAATTTTTCTCTTATCGTCAATGCCCCCCCCCCCCCCCCCCTCCACCTCCCCTTCCTCCTTCTCTCCCCCTCCCTCCATCCATTCACCTCTCTTCCTCTGCTCTCTCCATCACCACTAACAACCCCACTAACAGCCTCCCCCTCCCCCTGCATGCATCTCTCCCTCTTTTTCCGTTCTTATTGTTTTTTCTTCTTCTTGGTGCTGTGTCACTGGAGTCCCTGGCTAATGTGCTCTTGTTCATGCAAAATGTTTCCCCATGTATCAGACATTTCCCAGGAACATACGAGGGGAGTACTGTATCAGCTGCTATGGAAATAAACAGTTGTATCTGCTGTGCGAGAGTTGGCATTCCACTGGTTCCTCTGTGCGTTGCCTTCAGACTCCTGTGAGAGCAGCTGTGGTCTCAGGGGTCCGGCTGCTTTAAGACAATCCTTCCAGAAGTCCAGCATCCCTGCCGATTACAGCAAATCTACACTGCATGCTTGCCTCACTGACACTTTGTCTTCCATATCAAAAATAAAAAAATGGAGTTATGTGCATCCATATATAATATCTTTAAGTGTATAAGTTATGAGAGGTGATTATTGTAGAAATGATTGCAGCAATTAATATTTTCAACCAGATGAATCTGCATATTATTTTCTTTTTTCCCTTAAACCAAATGTTAGAAAATAGTCTAAATGCTCAATATCATTTTTCTTAGAGTTCAATTTGATTATTCAAATGAAATGCTCACCCTCAATCAGACACGATAAATCCATCATCAAAATAGTTGCCCTTTAATTTTCTGTTGATGAACAAATCAACCCATGACTTTAGTGCTGGTGGAAATAAATTGCTATAAGGTCACTCAATAACAAAAGAGATATTTACTTTGTTATTTTCGATAGTGTAAGATGTTACGATGCAGCGGTCACAGTGTTCCCTCCTGTGTTCCACGCTGGCTCACAGTGTGTTCAGCTTCCAGCCGGACCCTGCACCTCTTTTAGCCACATTTGCAATCTTTCCCTTTACCCTCATCTTCCCTCCCTTATTCTTCATGTCATGATGCCTCGATTTTATTTAGTCCATACCCTCTTTCTCTTATAGCTGTTTTCTGTCACAGTGGGTCATACAGTATGTATCTTAAACTTCTACTTTCCATGCAGACTTGTACGTCTAAAAGATTGAACAAATAATTACTAGTTACTAAAAAGTAAAAGGTAAAAAATAATATTCTTTGGAATACAATTATTTCCAGATTTGATATTTCTAATTCCCCATTCCATGAACAGTTCCATCTAACCTTATGATAATAATCTCTTAATTTATTCAAATCATTAATTCAAATAATTCTTGTCACAGTCATTACTGTTCAGACAAACTGATATAGCATTAAACAGTGGAACAACATTGTGGCTTCCATTGATATGAAAATAAAAAAGACCTTTAAATTAAAGCAATGATAGGCTTCAGCAATTTTCAATTTTTACTCCAATATGTAGTTCACCTTAAAAAAACGTGTGTGAGTGTGTGAGCTGGTCGTCCCTATCACGGATGATATGCTAAAGCCACCATTTTAATCTACAGTGTGTCCATACTGCATGATATGCAATATAAATTATGAAAGAAGAAAAAAACCTATCTTTTCAATGACCTTGCAGGCTGGAGGGTTCAACATTTCCCCCTCGCTGCTTAAAATGTGTGATATGCAAATGGCTGTCACAGTAATCCCTCGTCATTTGCCGGCTGCAGTCCACACATCCTCTGCTTCCACACTGCGCATGAACCCGTGAACATGTTTTATATCTAAGGCGATTGACCAAATATATCTTAAAGAGTATGTAAAGCTGCTTTCATCAACGTATGGTTATTTAAATAATGTGTGTGTGTGTGTGTGTGTGTGTGTGTGTGTGTGTGTGTGTGTGTGTGTGTGGTGTGTGTGTGTGTGGTGTGTGTGTGTGTGTGTGTGTGGTGTGTGTGTGTGTGTGTGTGTGTGTGTGTGTGTGTGTGTGTGTGTGTGTGTGTGTGTGTGTGTGTGTGTGTGTGTGTGTGTGTGTGTGTGTGTGTGTGTGTGTGTGTGTGTGTGTGTGTGTGTGTGTGTGTGTGGTGTGTGTGTGTGTGTGTGTGTGTGTGTGTGTGTGTGTGTGTGTGTGTGTGTGTGTGTGCGCTTGCAATGGAATTATCTTCACTCTTACACTATCCTGTTTTCGAATCCAAAACAAAGTAGGTACTACAGTATATTAATATATGGAGTAGGATGCATTTTAAAGATACCTTTTATTTTAGAATCCACTTTCATCTCCATAAAGCAGGGATGGACAAATGGCGGCCATATTTTTTTACTTGTAGTACTGATACCGTCCACTAGACTCCTAGTTACGTCGCGAGCTGCGTAAATGATTTTGTTCGGGAGCCAAATACCGCAAAATAATCTGTGACGCGTTTGTGTGTATTGTGTTTGTTTCCCGGGGAAACACTCACAAGAAACACCGGCTGTTGTTATGCCTGCTGTGACGTTAAGTTACCGCTTGTAATTATGCCTTTACAAGCTTCAAAGTTGTATTTATCATCTGAATTTGGCGAAACAAGTTTAATATTCTAAAAACCAAGACTTTGTTTATTTGAAATCAGATGAAAACAAACTGTCACGGACCCTGCCGTGTTATCTATGATAACTATACGCTTTTCATTCATAATTTCAGCGGGAGGGGGAGCGGCGCTGAGGAACAGCAGAGTGCGGGTTGACAGGTGTTTGTGTTGACATTCCCCTTATTGTGCGTCAGCAGAGACTGAGGCTACAAGTGTCTTAGGTTCAAGTTAGACAACTAATGTCTGGGTTAGTGTTCATGACTTCATGTTTCTGTCATCTTAATGGTTAATCTCAATGCACACACATTTTCCGTGCTTTCCAATAGTTTAAAATAGTTTTATTCCACTGTTAAATAACCTGTTCAATACAAACATGCCACTTGTACAAATTAAATATCATATCTGTGAACTGAT